CCCCCCCCCGAACTGGTGACCTTTCGGTGCCTGTGGTGACACTCAGCCAACTGAGCCACACTGGCCAGGGCTGTAACGATTTCTTTTAAAAAACCAGCTTCATCGAGGTATATTTTACATATCATAAAATTTACCCATTTCAAGTGTGCAAATCTGTAGTTTCTAGTAACCGACCAAGTGGTGCATCCATCACCATAAATTCGTTTGGGGGACATTTTCTTCCCCCCGAGGAAGGTCTGAGAGTTAATCCCTGTTCCTGCCCCCAGCCCTAGGTAACCACTAATCTACTTTCTGTCTCTTTTGTAATAATTTTGCTAATTATTTTCTGATTAGAGAAGTAATAGTTTCCTATTTTAGATCATTTGAATGACTCTAAAGAGAAAAGTAGACTGGAATGAAGGGCAGAATCCCCTCAGCCCATCCGGAAGCCGCTTCCCTTTTCTCTGCTCACGTGGCCGCTGTGTCCCTACGTCTGTGCCTTTCCACGCTTCTCCACACTGGGTTTTTTTGTTGTTTTTTTTTTTTTGCCTGAACACCCTTCACCCCGTGTTGCAAAACAAAACTCTCCCTATCTGGCCCGGCCGGCGTGGCTCAGCGGTTGAGCATCGACCCATGAACCAGGAGGTCGAGGTTCGATTCCCGGTCAGGGCACAGGCCCGGGTTTCCGGCTCGATCCCCAGTCGGGGGCGTGCAGGACGCAGCCGATCAGTGACTCTCACCACTGATGTTTCTCTCTCTCTTTCCCTTTCCCTTCCTCTCTCTGAAATAAATAAAAACATTTTAAAAAAACAAACAAAAAAACCCTCTCCCTGTGTCTTCAAGGTCTTTCTCATGTCAGTCCTGATCAGCCAAGATTTCCCTGGTGTCCAGACTAAAAGTAGTTTTCCCTTCTCAGAAATTCCACAGTGTTTTATTTATGGCTCTTGGAGTTTTCCCAGGGCAGCTGACTTACCGAACTACGTGCTTTATCTCCCCTCCTGAGCCACGAGCTCCGGAAGACTGGGGTCCCCTCTGATTCGTTTCATCTCCTAACCCCCCGAATATCTGCGGCTTCATCTCCCGCCGCTCCCTGAGGGCCTATGCGCCTCTCGCATACCATTCCTCGCCATTGTCATGGCTGTTTAATGTCGCGTCCCCGCTAGACCGGGGGCCCTGTCACCGGTACCTGGAGTGAAAGAGAGCTGGCAAGTGTGTTTGGATAGCAAAGATTTTCCCTCGTTTGCATCTTAATATTTCACTCTAGATACCAAAGCTGGGTAACTCTTCTTACCCCGATACCTGTCTTCGGCACCTTAGTTCTTACTTGAATTAAGTAACAATTAGTCTTAAAATAGATGCATGAGCCAGATTGTGATTGATGGTCTTTCCCCCTGCTGCAGAGAATCTTGTTTTTTGCCCTCACTCATGGCAGACGCTCGTGCTCACTTACACCCCTTGTAAGAAACCTACTGGCCTTCTTCCTGGAACTATAATTTTTTTTTCTTTTTAACTTTAGACAGAGGAAGGGAGAGGGAGAGAGAGAAACATCCATCGGCTGCCTCCTGCACGCCCCCTACTGGGAATTGAGCCCAAAACCTGGGAATCCGAACCCATGACCTCTTGGTTCATGGGTCAGCACTCAACCACTGAGCCACACTGGCCGGGCCTGAGAAATACGATTTTTAATCTGCAAGCACCTTGTTTGTTATTTCTGCCAACCCATCGTGAACTGAGCTGTTCTGAGCCTTTGGCTCAGTCTCCCACCCTGAGCAGCTCTGACAC